AAATTTTAAAGTGGTTTTAATTTGCATTTCCCTAATTATTAGTGATGTTGAACATCTTTTAAGATGTTTCATAGCCATCTTTACTTCTTCTGAGAACTCTCTGTTCAACTCCTTAGCCATCTTTTAATTGGGTTGCTTCTTGTCTTGATTCTCTATTTTTTGAGTTTGTTATATATTCTGGATGTTAAACCTTTGTCAGATGTGTCGCTGGTGAATATTTTCTCCCATTCTGTGGGTTTTCTTTACTTCCCTGGTTGCCTCCTTTGATGTACAGAAGGTTTTTAGTTTAATGAGGTCCCATTTGTTGATTCTTGCCCTTGTTTTCTGACCAATTGATGGCCGGTTTAGAAAACCCTTTCCTACACCTATATCTTGTAGGTTTTCCCCAATGTTTTCTTCTAACTCTAACAGAGTTTCAGGCTTTACATTGAGGTCTTTGATCCGTTTGGAACTGACTTTTGGGCAGGGTGAAAGATAGAGGTTTAGTTTCATTCTTCTACAGGTGGAGATCCAGTTTTGCCTGCACCATTTGCTGAACATGCTATCTTTCCTCCAATGAATGTTCTTGACCCTTTTGTCAAATATCAGGTGGCTGAAATTGCATGTACTCATGTTTGGGCCTTCAGTTTTGTTCCATTGATCTATGGGTCTATTTTTGTGCCAGTACCATGTTGTTTTTATGACTATAGCTCTGTAATACAGCTTAAAATCTGGTATAGTAATCCCGCCCCCCTTATTGCTCTTAGTGCTCAGGGTTGCTTTGGCTACCCGAGGTGTTTTGTGCTTCCATATAAATCTTAGGATGGTTTTTTCTAATTCTGTGAAAAATGTCATGGGGATTTTGATTGTCATTACATTGAATCAATAAATGACTTTTGGTAGGATGGTCATTTTCACAATATTAATTCTTCCAATCCATGAGCATGGGAGGTCCTTCCATCTTCTGATGTCTTCCTAAATCTCTTTCTTTAAAGATTTAAATTTTTCATTGTAGAGCTCTTTAATGTCATTGGTCAGGTTTATTCTGAGATCTTTTCTTTTTCTTGCAGCCTTTGTGAAAGGGAGTGTTTCCATGTGCTCTTTCTCTGATTGCTTGTTATTGGTATATAGAAAGCCTATGGACTTTTGTAGGTTAATTTTGTAACCTGCCACTTTACTGATCTTGTTAATAATTTCTAGGAGTTTTGGGCTAGAATTTTTGGCATCC